CAGTTACACTGATGCCAAATGTTTCCTGAGATGAAAATAACCCCACCCAAGCGGCAACAAAATCCCACCGTTGGCAGGGATTTTTTTATTTAATTTAATTATTTAAAATTGATGCCTTGGTAGGATTCCCCCACTCGACCATTCACTGTTGGGTTCTAATTAACAGTGCTGTTCCTGAAGTGGCGCAGGGAAACAGTAACAAAGCCTACACAGAACACACATGATTGAGAATTTAAAACACAAACTTGAGACTGGCATATTAGGTATATACACCTAGGCCATAAATCGAGAAAAAACAAAAAAAAAGAAGCGGCAACAACTAAGGTTCCTTAGTTAGAGGCGTCTTTGTTGATATGAAACCTATTCTGTAACTACAGTAGTTATTATCTGGCGACTTTCATAACAACTTTGAGGAAAGTCATTAGTGAGATATTGCAAGTTCACTTAAGGCCAGTCACTATTAGCGCCGCTCTTATTTGAACATCTGAGCATGCGCATATCGTTTAAGTTCTAGAACTGACTTTATTAAAGATAGCTTGTCCTTAATTGTGGATGTTTAAGGGTGCAGATAGTGGCAACTTTATGGTTTTCGGGTGCGCTCGCCGACATTCGTATCAGTTCGAAATTTTTTAATATTAAATATTTATTGTCATCATCATCCAAAGAACCTTCTAAAATGGTCATTTATAATGCCTTTTCCATATTATGTATTATTGTAGACAACAAAAAAGATGGAACAGTAATTTAGAATTTTTTAAAATTAGGTTAGAAATATGTGTGAGGACAAGAAATTTAATGTACTTCCGATTCTGACACCGTGGTGTCAATATTGAAATGGCGGTCTTAGAATCGGGAGTCATCTGTGTATGTGTTCCTGTAACAATCTTGAATAAGAATGGCCATCGATTAGTGAATCTTGCCTTGATGGGATTATGCATCCTGTGAAGAAGTTTTAAATACATATTTTAATTATATTACTTGAGGGTATCCAATTGCCGAGAGCAAGACAAGGATACTCTCTCGTTTTGATAGTTGAGTAAATTATTCTGTAGGATATAGCCACAAAAAAGGAAGAAGAAGAAGGACTTTAATGTCAAAATTTCAGGTTTGCAATGTCTTATTTTAGCATGGAATTTATTTGCCTCTAGTTATAAAAATTTGGAATATCTCTGTTATTATGTATTGTTAAAAAAATAATTTAGATTTTGTATTAGTGTAAATTAGGCTTTTAACAACTTTCGTCAGATCGGGACGTCAAGTAGAATGTCATTTATCCTTTAGGAATTTTACATTTTGATGGTGAATTGATTTAAAAAAAATGAAATTTGGAAGTTTCACCAAAGCAGCAAAATTTAATGCGCAAAAGTAGTCTTTATTGTAGTATGTAGGGTCCGATTACAATAAAAATAACAGAACTACGACATCATTTAGTAAAGTAATTAATTAGCTATTAAAATAACAATAATGTAATAAATAATAATAATAATACTCTCCCTAATTCACCTCCTTACGAGTGAATTTCAACCCCTGAAGCCGATTGAGCTTGTATGGGGAAGGGACGGATATTATTATTTGCCAGTGGCGCTCCAGTGGCAAGTTAAAGATGACTGATGGTGACATTTGACTTACAGGTGAGGAAAATCCAGAAAATTTCACCCACTATCATCGAACACATGGCGATTTTTAATAATCTGGATGTCATATTAACAAAAATTAAATTTCTGCTAACATGGCACACATCAAATCCTCTAACGAACCATCTAATTTAATTAAAAATCACATGGTCTGTTGTAGGATTTGAAGCCGCTTGTCTCTCAACCGCAAAATTGCCTATAATTGAATATAAGCGAGTGAGAAAACAACGCAACCGAGCCAATTTAATTCTTATTATCTTACCAATAAATATACTTCCATTTATTGATGCCTTCTTTTCGCTGATGACTTAATTTTTTTAGTAGAAACACTGATAATTGTTCCGCCTTACAGGTTTGTTACCTGAAGCGCGTTCAGATGCTCTTAAGGTGCGATTTCGGTGGTGGTGCTGCTCGAGCCGCGCGACTAGAGACGCTGGCCGCGGCAGCTGTAGCCGCGATGAAAAGATGTTTTTGGTGACGCAGTTCTAGGCAGCCGTTGACTGCGGACTGTAGCATTTTTGTCATTTTAAAGTTTTGCGGGGTTTATTAAAAAATATGGATTACGACGATTTGATAACATTAATTTTATTAGAAGAAGAGGAAAATGAAGAAGAATTTTACCAAATTTTATTTAGAAAAAGGTGTAAAGTAGATGAAATGTTTAAAAGACGACGCGAGGAAGAGTAATATGATACTAACCTTTTCTTTAATTCTTTAGCGACCTTTTTCTAACAATTTTCTTAATTAACAAAATTTTTGTAATTTTTGTAATTTTTGTCTTCATAATCATAAATTACGGGATATTTTTGAATTTCTTTGATTAAAATTTCATCGTCATTTGACGTAAATGGCGCCATTTTTGCCCTAGTCACTACGATTTCAGCCGCTCGACTGCTTCGCGAGCAGTCGAACAGCAGCCGTTGCAGCGCGGGCTGCCGCCGCTTTAGTCGCGCTGCGCAAGCCAAATTGGTTCCATTTGAAACTGTACAAACCAGTGCAGCAGCTGGAGATGCAGCTGCTAGCCGCCACAGCCAGCCGCGTCACCGAAATCGCACCTTTACACGGGAGCAAAGTAATTTTATAAGATCGTTTGTCTAGAGTAATTTTCATTTTCCCAAAAATTTGTGAACAGTAACGAAAGTAAACGTCAGAGAATTTGAAAATTAAAGTTTTTTATGGTTGTTTAGTCATTTAAAGACGCTCCTCGCCTCTCGTTGTTACTTGTTTATGTTTTTTACTGTTTTTTGTCATTTTTATATTTATCTTTTCACAGCCCTATTTGTAATCAGGTTTATAAAGAATGATATAAAAAGTAAATAAGACAAGAAATTTTAGATCATTTATATAAAAAAATCTGAGTTTGTATAAGCCTAATCCGCTCCTGTGCTCCGCACAAATCTGCGTATCACGGTTCTCCGCATTTTTTTATATATTAGTCTTAATAAAACGTTTGAAACATTGACATGTCAGTTTTATTTCACGAAAATATTCAATCGCAAATATAATTTATACAGTCCACTAAGAAATCAATTAATTCTCGATTAAGCAGTTCGAGAGGTAAAAAATACATCGGATGTGGATATTCGAACGAAGCATAATACTGTGTTTGAATATCTCTCACTGTATCTGTAACGTGAGGAGGGTGGGTTACCCCACGGCACTTAGGCCTCATTAGGCCCATTGTGCATCCTCCTAAGATGATCGGTACCCCTAGCTCGTGAGCCAGCCTACAGATTTAACACGTTCGCGATGTCGCACATACGGCAATTATTCCCTATTTAGCGCGCCAAAAATAAAAAAATATATATATATTAAAAACATGTTTCATCCACACACTATTGTTCTGTATACATTCGTGCTCATATCTGGCTTTATACCACCGAGAACCGCAGATAAATAAGAAAGTAATATGGTGCTTTCAGTCTTAAGTGTGGTTGACACATACATCAGCATGCGAACACTTGTTGAAAAAGTACGTGTTGTTGTTTATCTGTTGTAATCCAAGAAAGTTTTCAAGATGAACTGTGAAGCTTCATGTATGTATTTCTCATTCAAGTATTAACAATGTATTTATTTGTTTCTTGTCTAAATAACGGCAGCTTTTGGTGGACTTAATTTTATTCATTCTTTTTTGTATACGGCTAAATTCTGAGAGGGCTACAAAAAAAGTTCCGCCAAGTTCCACTCTCGTTTTTTATATTATAGTTAGATAAGACCTTTATCTTTAAGAGCATAAAAAAATGTGCGTCCCCGAATGTCGTCTGTCTGATACAAGATACAAAATCACTAGAAATGAAATTTTTTCTGTTCTACAAAGCGATAAATTCTTTAAACTGTCGACTGCTAAGTGCATTGAAAAGATAGAACAGTACATATTAATTAAATTTAATACATCAGAAATTCCACGTGCTCGGAAAAACGTTTTAAATGTACTATAAAGATATTCGTGTCGAAACTTAACAAAAAGTGGAAGATATGCAAAAGTACAACCCGCAAGATTCACCAAAAAAATATGCTTTATGGATAGATAGATAATAATTCCTAGATTAGACTCTAATATCTCTGTAACGCCCACGGCAGAAGAATTAAGAAATTTTTTTCGATGAGAGCTCTGTATGGTCGAAGTTAAGAAAAGTAGGACCTCTTGTGTCAAGCATGTCCAAAGAAACACTTTGCAAAGTTGCAGAAATGAGTCTGTTCAAAAGTGAAGAAAGAATTTCGGCGCAAGTTGTGAAATTAGCTATAAGCTTGTCTCCGCGCACAGAGCAAAAACCAAAGAAATTCATAATTCGTCATATTTTGATTCAGGGCTATGTACACTCCAGAAGAAGCATTAGCTTGTAAGATTGTATCACTCACGGAAGACATCGAGATTAGAACCAGACAGAGACATAATGAATAGAATGCTACTGTCATCAGACCCCCTGATTACAAATACAAAAAAGCGAAATAAACCCTTTTTCAGAAGCTGTACTGAGTATGTTACTTTTTTAAGTAATAGTTTAGATGGTGTACAAAGTGATATAAATCCAGATAGTGACTGATAATTCCGAATAAAAAATAATTTCTGTACATTATTTGTATTTCAGTTAATTATTAAAATAATGACGTAAAGCGTTCTCAAAATGTATGTGCATTATTTTCACGTATTTTATTAGTGTTATATAAATGATTAAAACTTGACGCCTTAATTAGATAACTAAATAAAATTTAATTTATAAACCACTTTTCATGCATTTTCATGTGAAATGTGACAACCTGGCAGTCTATTCAACAACTTACATTGTTCTTTCAATTAAATCTAAGCAAAAAATTACTTGGAAAAATACAACTATTTTTGGCGTGCTAATTCCCGCTAATTGCCGTAGGTCCCCTGTGGATCCCTCGATGTCGTGAACGTGTTAATGTAGTTGACAACGTCGCCAAGAGGTGCTTCTCTTATATCAGCCGGTGTTAGCCGATACTCGCCAAACACAAATCTTCTAATAAATGAGAGCGTCAAGCAATAGTAAAGCATATGCTCGATGGTCTCATCTTTTTGTTTGCACCCTCTGCACAGTGCGGATTGTGTTTGAATATTCCATAGGCATCATATTTTTTTTGGAATAACCACACCTGATGCATTTTTATCTCTCGAGTATTTGTTTATTCGCATCGGACACACATGCTTCAACTACGTTTGCGTTTATTTGAGAAGCAACTATCCAGATTACATTTTTTAAATTTGAAATGAGATGTTGATAGTGGGGATTATCATCGTTATTTTTGTTAAATTCATTTATTGAATTCTTTTCACTCTGTTCTCTCTTAATGTGGCTTCATGCCACTGGGACTAAGAGAAGAATGAGCTTTTACACTTGCAGAGTCCAGTGCTTTCTGCCAAAAGTTTTTTAGCTTACTATCTCGTTATTGGCGCCATTTTCATTATTTTTTTAAATTTGTCAATTATTATGTATACTACGTGACCAATACATTTATTTATTACATTTACATTTTAATCTTTTTTATCTTATATGCATATTAGGTTTGTCTATTTTAAATAAAGAATGTTTTTCTTTATTATTCGTCTTTCTAATCCTGAATGACATGATCAAAAATTCACAATATCTCAGAGTATTAGAGAGTTCGTTGACATTTATTGACCAGGGCATTATTTTTGATACCAACATTCTTTCAACAACCACATAGATTCCATAGTATGCAAATTCGTCAGAACGTGTGGCTTCATGAAGAGATATACTAGGTACGTTAATGACACAAAAGCAATAGGACTCTTTACTAATGGTAGGCAAAATAATCGATTAGTCGATTATTTTCAATTAATCTATTCTTTTCGATTAATCGATTATTTTCGATTGATAGAATATTTTCGATAAATCGATTATTTTGAATTAGTCGATTATTTTCAATGATTAGATTATTTTCGATTAATTTTGATAATCGCATATACTCTTTACAATTGCCTGATGCCTGGTAAAAAGTGTCCTGGAATACTGTTCTATTTGGCAACCTACTTACACCTGTCATGTCAACAGAATTGAAATGATTCAATGTAAATTCATTAAATTCCTATTCTTTAAGCACTGATTCCAAAGCTATGGGTGCGTTAAATAAGCAGTAGGACAAGTTGAAAACGTTTAACGAAAAATAAAACCGACCAACATAATCAGTCATGACTAGTCAACTGATTGGTCAGGTTCAGTCAGATCGGTCGTAAATGTTTTTTCTCAACTCTTGTAGTTAAAACTTTAATGTTGTTAGTTGTTATTCCACTCGCACAAACAAAAAATAATCTTCCACTATTTAATATAACAGAGTTTGAATGTTTTAAAGTCAAACCTCAACGATGGTCCATATTTACATTATTTCTTAATCGAAAATATATGGATAATTTACTATAGTAAAAATATCTGGGAATAACTTAAAAAGTTTGTATGGCAAGAACAAATGGTTGTGATGATCATGGATTTGAAAAATTAGAACTAGGCAGTTTTGACAAAATTGTTCAGCGACCGGTCTGACAACGCAGCCAATACCACATGTTATCAAACAAAGTAATTGTTTTGTGGCATGAAGAGCATAAAATTAAGGAGAAAACAGACCTTTCTATTCTTTGTAAAATTACTAGGTGCTTTTATCAAGTGCGAGTCACTACTTGAAAGAGTTCAACCCCCCAAATTTTACTTAAAGAATTCTGATTTTATCGAGCAACCATGTAGAACTGTATGATACAGAATAGACCTCATAATTCAACGATTAATTATGTTTAAAAGCAATGGTGGACGGATAACATGTTTTTAGTCATTGTTATGAATAATAAATGACATTTTGTATAACATAACATAACACGAAATTTGATTCCCATACGCGAAAATAGTTATTTGTGTACAAAGCCAGTAACGTTGAGCTTTTTTGGCCGACTCCAAAATTAGCGTAGTCAAGGCCAAACTTCTGGTTAGGCCAAAAAAGATCATACGGTCGAGGTGAACAAAACATTTTTTAGGCGACTCTCATTAAGTAGAGCCAATATATTTTTTTTACATTCTAGTTTTTAAAAAGAGGCTTAAATGCAAGAATTGTTTTAAATTTTTGTTGGTAGAATAAAAGTCCATCATTAACTAATAAAATTTGTAAAGAATTGCCAACTATAAGTATAATAAACCTGTGTTTATAAAAAGCGACCATACAGTAAATGCGGCCAAGAAAACTGACACTTTAGGGATGTTAATAAATCCCTAAAATATCATTTTTCATGACAGTCGTCTCAAAAGTATGTTTTCTAACTTGGTACTATTAAAAAAATGGTCTCCATTTAAAAAACTACCAATTACGTCATATATCGAATAGTGATAATGTTAAAAAAATATATACATCAAAAAATGCGTAACTAAAAAATAAAATCGATCTGTTCAATCATTTTTTCATTACTTTCCAATAAACCCAGAAATCTAGTGTTTCGTCAATTTTACTCAATCCTGTATTAACCTACTAAATCTAGTTTATAATCAAAAAATAAAAGCATAATATTTACTAATTTGCTCCAATAAATCGAACCGAATGAACTTAGAAGACAATATTTTCCTAGCGATTCAGGCTTTATGTACAATCCCCAACATATACAAAACTCAATAATTTGATTAAATAATTTAGCTATGAACTACTTGCGACACTAATATTACTATTACTAGTTGCTCTACTGCCGGATAGTAAGTTAACTTCTTTTTTGAAAACCGCCAATCCGGCTTTAACCAGTTCTTCGGCAATGTCAATGTCGTGCTCTTCGATTTCGTATAAATCCACTCCCGGAACGGGAGAACCTTCGCGCTTCGCTCTCGTCTTTTCTCGTATGCTATAACCGTTCATTTTGGCTGATAATTTTTTCCATTGCGCCACATGAGTCCATTCCTCGAAACGGTCTACGGCCGCTTCAGACCAAGATTCGCCACTAGGTTCTAGATAAAAAAAATCGAATTTCTTCTAAGGCTTAAATGATTTTAATTAACACCAATAGTGAAATTAAAACAAATGGAAAAATCCACATACTACGAAATTAAAACTTACCAATTCTAGCCAGAAAACATTCAATAGCCTGAAAGTGTAGCCTCAAAAAATCCGTTCTCAACTCAAAAAGATCTTTGCAAGGCAAAATATCAGTATCACCATAATCTACATAGTATAGCTCCGCCTGTTTTTCATTCGAATTGCTTTCATCTGCTTCAATCACATTTAATACTTCAGCTCTATACCTAAAATAAAGACAAATTAAATTAGTTATCTAAAATAATTTTATTTTTAAATTTTCCTTACCATTTATTGTCATACATGAAAGTAGCAGCTACTAAATCTCCTTTTTTCACTTCGTCTAATAAATGAGTATTCCTATTCTCTATTTTGCCGTAATATTCAGTCATCTCTTCTACTAAACAGTCTAATTCAGTCGCTTTAGGTCCAACGATTTGTACCCAAAATCTTGAAGGGTCAACCATAGCCGAAACGTACACCTCAAAAGGTGTTTCTGGTTGGCCTAAAAAAATAAATGGTACCACAAATTTAACAGCAATTTTTTTTTACGAAAATTATACCTAAAAAATTCTCTTAATTTTCCATAGCTTGCAAATAATTATGCATTCTATTAAAATTATATTTTTTTCCAGATTCATAGTTTCAAAAGAACCAACCACGCACTTTCCTTATGTAAAGTGGCGACCGGTCAAATTTTCTGAAACTTTGATAAGTTGTACTCTATCTAGTGATCAAAAGTGGGGGCGTGAGTTGGCTCAGTGGTTAGAACACATACTTTGATTACTATACGACGCAAGAGACAGGTCCGATACGCCCAACATAGGGCGCGGCCATTTTGAACCCTGTGACACAGTTTACAGCTAAAGAATCAGATCGCTCACTCTGCGTCGGCACTTTGGATCTCAATGTTCCAGTTTATACACTGCGCAACTCGGATAATACAATATATAACAACCGCCTATAATAAAACAGTAGTCTTCTGCGTATCCTGAATTTGTATCCCTGGAGTGGATGTTATTTTGGAACTTTCAACTGGTCCGAGTGAGCTAACTGATTCTTTAGCAATAAACTGTGACTTCAAAAATAATATTCACTGACACTGACAGCAGCAAGCAAAATATCAGGTGCGTTTTAATCATCCGCTTCTGCTTCCGGAATTGTCGGTTTAGTCGTTTTAACCTGTCAGATTAAAACAAGAAAACTGACAATTCTGAAGCAGAAGCGGATGATTAAAACGCACCTATTAAAAATATTGCGCCAAGATGTAGGCAACACGTAATAAGGGTTCAAAATGGCGGAGTTTTCTATCTCCTTTTAAAAGCCACTCAGAAAGCTGCGCAGTGCGACCATTCTCCGTATAGTAAAAGAAAATCAAAGTAAAGTATGTGGGTTAGAGTCATGACTTTGAGATCGAAAGGTCTCAGGATCGAATCCCAGGTGGTAGGAATTTTTATTTAATTAAAAAAAAAATTAAATATTAATTCTAATGCGTAGGTAGAACAGAAGTAAAAGTTGGAAATGCTTTTGCCAGTTCTCCCACTTTATACACATGAATTGACAGGTTGGCAGCGGATCTGACCGAAGTGGACGCGATACATTGGCGTACAAAATTATTTTATAGATGTTAATAACAATTTCGAGTAAATAGTTTAATAAATTGTGAACAGCTGTTGAAATTTTGTAAAATTATGATTTGAATATTATAATACATGTTTAATAATTATTTATAATCCATAAATACATGCGATTTAAAATTACTTATTCTATGAAAGTACACTGGCAGGTAAACATTACTGCGAAATTCTCGGAGCCGCCCGACGTGGTTTGACGTTTACCCCCTCTCTACCTACCAAAAGACTTTTCAACTTTTACTTTCTCTATAGGATTCCCCATTCGACCATTCACAACATTGAAAAAAAAATTGTGAAATTTATAAATAAAAATATTTTACAATTAAAATCTTATATGGACAATTTTCAAGAATAAAATTTGTTGCAGCTTCTCCAAGAGGCTCTGAGAGAGATGGAGGCCGAAACACCAAACAATAACACTGCTTTTGAAAAGTATATGAACACTATCCAAAGCACAATAAACAATCCCTATAAGAAATCCTGTCCTCTGAGAATGGTCCAACACGATCAGACGACTACCGCATGGTAGTGTCACGAGTTGGATCACCTCAGAAAGATGGCTAGGAAATCCTTTAATAAGGCAAGAACCACAAAACTCAAAGAGGACTGGGACACTTACAAATCTCACCTCAGAGAATACAAACAAATCGTCAGACAAAAACAGAGAGATGCATGGAATAATACTGTGAAGAAAAGAAATTCAAAAAGCTCTCTCAAAATATCCACACCGAAGCATTGGTGCGCTAATCAAAGAGGATGGCACAAAAACTGCCAACCTCGAAGATAGCATCAAACTTCTGCTGTCAACACACTTCCCTGACTCGGTCATCACAGACATGGCCGACTGGGCAGAGGAAGAATACAATCCATCTGTCTATGATTGGCAAACTGCCAAACACATTGTAGACGATGAAAAAATTAGATGAGAAATATCCAGCTTCTCTCCATTTAAATTGCCAGGACCTGACGGTATATATCCAGCCCTAATTCAGTGGGGTCTGGAAGAACACACCGCACCTGGTGGGTATATTCATATCCTTGTTGGCTCTGAGGTATATCCCCAAAAAATGGAGAGAGGTAAAAGTGGTATTTATATCCAAACCCGGAAGGATGGATTACACTGTCCCAAAAACATACTGACCAATTAGTGTGACATCGTTTTCCATGAAGACATTGGAAAGGCAATGCGAAAGGTACATAAGGGATGCGGTGATTACAACAACACCACTACACCCAAACCAACATGCATACACCCCAGGCGATCTACTAATTCAGCCCATCATCTAGTTGCTGGTCGGATAGAAAGATCCCTGGACAATAAGGAGTCCGCCTTGGGTGTTTTCATAGACATAGAAGGTGCTTTTGATAAAACCACCTTCCTAAAGATAATACACTTACTAATCAACAGGAATGTTCCACAAATGGTTAGTTGGTGGATACATAACATGCTCTCAAAGCAAGCAGTAAACATAAGTGTAGAAGATGTGAATATAAGAGGCTTGGTTGCGAGGGGATGTCCACAGGGTGGGATGCTATCACCTCTACTGTGGAATATGGTCCTCGGCACCCTCATCAGCAGCCTCAATAATGACAGTCACTCATAAATAGCATGTGCAGATGATCTGGTCATTCTGCAAACAGGGAATTTTGAGAACATTCTTTACGAAAGAATGCAAGTAGCTCTAAAAATTATAGAACAGTAGTTCAACGACCATTCATTGTCTATCAATCCTAAGAAGACAGAAATGGTCCATTTCACAAGGAAAAGGATGAAAATGGAATTAAAACCTCCAGAACTCCTAAACACAAAACTAAACTTTGCAACAGAGGTGAAGTACCTACTGGTAGGTCTCACCTTTGACAGCAAGTTAACATAGAACTCGCATTTAGAAAACAGTTAAAAGAGCATAGATTACTTATGAGCAATGCAGCCGAACCGTAGGGCGCACCTAGGGTTTTTTCCCACAGAGTCGTCGCATGGACTTACAGGGCTAGTATAAGACCTATGCTAACATACGGTGCAGTTGTCTGGGTACCGAAAACCCAAAAATTAACTGCTATCCGTAAACTAGAACAAATTCAAAAAACAGCATGTCTTAAAATAACAGGAGCCATGAAAACAACATCGACCAGAGCCATGGAAGTCATTCTTAGTCTCACTCCCCTTGGCTTTCAGCGTTCTCTTTCAGCATTCTCTTTCAGCATTCTCTTTCAGAATACCAGACAGAGCGCATCACGCGATTCAGACAAGGACTGAGCAACTGACGACTAACCACCTGGGGACGAAGGTCCCTCCAGTCGCCAAGTAGGAGACTGGGGGAGCTTTCACAGGTAGCGACTTTCACAGAACGGCACACACATGACGAAACAGGGAAATGCCCTCAGCAAACTCAGTCTAAATGCTAATAATATGTCATCTTTCACAGCCCTTTCAGAAGGAATGGCATACTAATCATAAGATGTAAATTGACTCCCCCTGAAACCAAGCAGTCAGGGGGGGGGAGGTGGTCGTCAGGAGGATTCCGATCCAGTTTAACAGGATGGGAACCTTCCTGACTTGGGCTCAATTACTGTGTGTGTGTACTCCCCTTGATATTTACGTGTAGGATCGGGTGAGGCGAGACGTCGCTTTTGGCAGTAGGCGCTCGATTCGCTCCCACTGCTTCAAGCGAACATGAACTCCATCTCACCGAGATATATCTTCCGTAAGCCATATAAAGTTATAATAGAACAAATAGAAGAGCCGGAAGTGGAAGGTACGATTCATATCTATACCGACGGTTCTAAAACAAAACAAGGCTTAGGATGTAGAATATACTCCAGATTCTTAAACCTAAACATAAAATGGGCTATGAGCAATAGTCCCAGTGTAGTTCAAACAGAGCTAATAGGAATTCTCATAGCAGCAAAAGAAATAACCAGAAACAATATCACTGGAAGGAACATGCTCATCTATACAGATAGCAGACAAGCATTACTCACCCTGAACAGACCACGAATTTACTCAGGGTTGGTACTAGAATGTCACGAAGCTTTGGCCGAAGTATCCATCAACAATGCGGTCACCTTAAGATGGATCAAAGGTCACGCCGCATCGAACGGTAGCCGTCTTACTGATTCACTAGCCAAGAAAGCAGCCAACCAAATACTTTTTGGACCTGGCCCTTCTATTGGCCTGACAAAATCGGTAGTGACAGACCTGATTAAAGAACATTCCCTTGTGAAATTCAACGAAAGATGGGATGAAACAAGAAACTCCAGAGTTGCCAGGGAGCTCTTAAGTTATCCTGACAACACTGTAGCAAACAAATACTAGACAGAATCTGCGCCTAGTCATAGGCATTCTGACTGGCCATTGCCAAGTACGGAAGCATCTCCATATCAGGGGGTTGTCAGAATCCACACTACAGAGGGTGCGAACAAGAAAATGAGGCCATCGAGCATATCCTTTACGATTGCTCGACGCTCTCATTTATTAGTAGATTTGTGTTCGGCGAGTATCGGCTAACACCGGCCGATATAACAGAAGCACCTCTTGGCGTCGTTGTCAACTACATTAAATCTGTAAGCTGGCTTTTTCAAAGTCCTCCAAACCGTAAAAGTCAATAAAAATCTCGAATTTATAATTTTGTACTATATCAATAAATATACTTGTATTATATATAGGTACGCATTTTGTGTTATTGAAGAATAGTAAAAAGTGTATTGTGATTCGCAAGTATTCGCAGAATTTATTTGTTCTGTTGCGGGACAATCCATTATATAAGTTAATTACAATAATATGACGGAAATCTACGGAAATCATAATCATGGGTCTACACAAAATAAATAAATGTACAGCAACCAGAAACTGTGACAGATAGTTTGTTAAACTTAGTTCATATTTAACAGGTAAATAATAATATAAATAATAAAAAACCTTCGAAGCCAGATCGCTATAAAACAATTTTGGAATCTCTTACGAAATTTCCAAAAATTCCACGCGAGATCCAAAAATTCGGTTTTAATAGTTACGGTTTTTAAGAAGTTCGGTCTTCGAAGCCAGATCACTATAAAACAATCTAGGATACCTTACAACAAATAAGTCGCTTTCATCAATTCATAAGTACAGATTTTTAAATTAATCCTTAAAAAATAATTTTATAATATAAGAAATATGTACTCTGTAATAATTTGTCGCTGAAATACCATATTGTGTAGTATTTTTTGAAAATATGCATCCCTGACGTCACAGTAAAATTAGTGAGATTTTGCAAAAAAAACTACCGTTATACATTTGAGACCACCCTGTACTTAAAAAAAATGTAAATGTACCTATGTACCAATGTATTACTAAAACATGTAACAAACGTGTGTATGCAACAGAAATTAAATCTAGGTTGAGTACAAGAGCATACCAAAGTTTCACAAAATTTGACCGGTCGCCAAGTAAAATTAAGAAAATTACTTGATCCTAGTCCAAGTTATAATTTTGTGCACCACTATAGGGATCATCCAAGACATTTTTTTAACTTTGTTTCGACTCATTTAGTTTATAAAGGACCCTGTTATTAACAAAACCGAAAGGAAGAAGAGAATAGAAGTGATGATATTAAACGCAATGGGAAACATTGGTTCAGTTATTATCATGAAAAATGAGGTTACCAAATAATGTCAGGAAATAAAAGTTTATAAACTTTACAAGATCAAATCAACAACAAGAAGTACCGAAAGAAATATACATAACATGAAATAAATTAAAACTTTAAATAGCAAGTTAATATATAAATATTTTCAGTTATTATCTACCTGGTATTGGAGACATCCTTTCAACTTTGGGACTATCAATTGTTTTTGCCAATTCTGGAGATTTTGGAGGAATCCTGGGTTCTCTCTTAGCCAAAGAAGCTTCTAACCTCTTCTGCTGTTGTAGAGACTGTTCTACAATATCATCTATGAGAGATTTTGCAACATTTATTTGTTCTTTGGTTCCTAAATAATAAATCAACATAAAACTAAAATATATAGAATTAGAAAAATATAAAATAAATTGAAGCCAAATATAATTGGTGAGTTCGGTCTACGCACTCTTTTCACTATATTCACTCCTAAAGTACCTAAGGCGTTCGGGTACGGAAGGAGTTAAAATAAAAGTTCCTCTTTGACCGTTCGGAGATGGTGGAGTGGAGTGTGGATCAGGCATGCGCATAAGGTGATTTAAATTGATAATAAGTTAATTGTGAGCGATTCTTTAGTAAATAAATTTTTTTTTGGTTCCCGTGAATATCATTAATATGGAAGAAACTTATACGGTGGTTACTGACAAGTACGATTAAATTTTAAGTACTGGTATGTCACATTGACAATTGACATTTCACTCCGAGAGTTAAAGGAGTAAAATCATATTCGCACTCCGTTTACGCCTAATTACTACACTCCACTCTGGAGTGCGCAGCCCGAACTCACCTAATATTTTTATCATGTAAATACTTCTGTGTTAGTTCTAGTTTAATTTTAAGTGTCTTGAATGCAGATATATTAAAATCCAATAGTTTATACCTTTGATTGTTATTCTTTTGGAATTCAGCACCTTTTCATCATCATTAACTGTTATTTTAGATCCTGATAAACTTCTAATTTCCGATACTTTGTCACCATTTCTTCCAATAATTTTTCCAACTGATGACGTAGGTACCCAGATGTCTTCACTTTCCAAAACTGGTTGATTACTGATGAAGTCCTAGGCAACCAAAATTAATATGTTTACTTTTGTGATTTGGAATAAAAAGAATAAGTATATAAAATGGTTAGTTGTTTAAAAAATGATATTATGAAATAAAATTGTCTAAAAAACAGTATTTTACCTGTATTAAATTTTCAGCAATATGACAAGCTTCCACGCATCCCCTTATCACACATATCTTATCTTCAGATCCATCTACTTCTTTAAAATTGATCTTGGTATTTGACTGCTCTTGGATTTGTTTAATACACTTGCCATTTCGACCGATAAGAGCACGTAACATGTCTTTTGGTACTTTAATTTCGTGAGTTTTAAATTTCGAAGCTTTAGCAAAGGTATCCATGTAGTCATCCTCGTCGTCTTTGTGGAAGAGGAGATAAAGGATGTAGCCTGATACTCCACAGGCAGTTAAGCCAAGAAAAACCGTTAAAGATTTAGTGAGAGCACTGAAAATTAGAGGTATGTATCAGTATCAAGTTTTTAAAGTGTATATTTTAGTTTCATTATATAATCTAATGATGTCTGGAAATAACCGATATGATACTAGTTTATGATTATTGCCAAGGAAATGGTCGAATGTCAGTGAGAGTATACAGAGAAAGATTTCCAAACATTTGCCGTTTCGAAAGGTGTCTTCGAGAAACCAGTAGTTTTACTCCTGCAACGGTTGAATATGGACGGAATCGTATGAATAAGGCACCAGAGGTAAAAGGAGAAATTTTAGAAAGAGTTGAAGAAAATCCAAGTCTGAGCACAAGACACCTAGGTTTGGAACTTGCGAGTTTCTAAAAATACAGTGAGTAGGACTTTAAAGAAACAAATGTTGCATTAATTCCATCTCCAGGCAGTTCAAGAACTTTTACCTACCTCTCGACCTCCTCGAATTGAGACTAGCCTTCACACATAAGGTTGTTTTCTGTGAACCATTGTTGAGCCTTTAATACTTGCATTTTCAGTTAGACATAATATTTTACCGTTTATCAGAAATGATATAATTGTTTACATAATTACATATAATAGGGGCCCTAAAACAGAATCTTGTGGTACCCCAATTACACATCTCATTTGTTTGGATTTAGTTTAGTTTTTTTCCCTGGGCTCGTCTGACTATGTGTCTCCGAATAACACTGAAGCCTATTGGCTTATTGTGTTTTACCCCGTGTTAGTTCATAGCACCCACTCTATCACCTTTGTACCTTGTACAAGTTTGTACAGATCCTTGGGTGAGTGGGTTCTATACGTTGTTGGATCAACCTGGGGTTGTTCAAAAAGAGCCTGCCTTTTGCGATCTAGAGCTTCGCATTCGCACCGTATGTGTTTGGCCGTTTCTGGTTTCTTGTGACATAGTCGGCACATGAGTTCCCCATTGTACATGCCAATTTTGTTCAAGTGTCCCTTTACTGGGGCGTGCCCAGTCATGAATCCTGTTATCACTTTCAACTGGTTTCTATTCATTAAGAGTAGTTCTCCAGTTCTTTTGGGACATGGTCTGCCTATGAAGGCTTTTCCATGTGCCTGTTTTGGGGTGCTTCCCCAATAGTTTAGTTAAAAGCTATATAATGAGATATTTGGTGTAGGCAGCTCTCAAACCAAGCCCAACACCTCTAAAACTGTATTTACTTAATTTATTTAACAAATTATGAAAATCTACTAAAATCAAAGTCAAGATGGCGCTGACTGAACCGCACGCGCAAAATACTGACACAGTTTATAGCTTAAAAGAATCAGTTCGCTCACTCGGACCAATTCCAAAATAACATCCACTCCAGGGGGTCAATTCTCGACTTGTAGGAACCTTTTCCTATAGGAATTTGTGACACTTTCCTATATGTAGGAAAATGTCATAAATTTTCGATGTATATAAAAATGTCAAAAATTCCTATAGGAAAATATTCCTACGAGTCGAGAATCGACCCCCTGGGATACAAATTCAGGAAGCGCAGAAGACTGCTGTTTGAATATAGGCGGTTGTCATATATTGTATTAGGCATTCCAAACAAATGAACTGCCAGTGGGAAGATTTGATATATCCAAGGGTTGCGACATACGATATATTCTGTTTACAATACGTAAAATCATGAATAATGGATTACATTTAAATATTTTATGTCAAACACAATAAAAATAAGATACATTTTTTCATAAATTGGCAGGCTTTGTGACTTTATTTCGAATAAAAAAAACACGTTCAAGATGCAAGACTATGTCTCTACCCCCTTAGATATACCCAATGAACTGGAGTGGGGTAGAATGCTTGTCAATAGACTTGATGTGCGACTCTATGGGCGAAGATAGGTTATTTTTCTTCTCACTCGGGAGTATTTAAAATAACCATTTTCTATTTCAGATTGTTATTGTCTGATCCACCAGCTTGTGGATTGAACAATAACAATGTGAAACAGAAAATGGATATTATAAATAGTCCCGAGTGAGATGAACAATAAAAATGGCTGCGCCCATCGAGTCGCACCTTGTTCTAATAGTACAACATGTACATTGGCATTCTACCCCCCTCCAGTTCATTGGATATACCAGACCTTCTCACTGACAGCTATTGTTTGACAGGTCGTTGGAATGCTTAATTGGTAATAGTAAGAGAGCCCACTGCAAATTACGACCGCCATCTGATAACAAAATGAAATATGCTCCAAAGACATGTAACAACATTGTACTTTACCAAATTGCACCTGTGCCAATCTGCAATCCAGAGTAAAGTGGCTAAACAAAATTATTTTATATTCAAAAAATTACATAAGACATGACAGCAATAATGGTGTTTTCTCTGAAAATTACAATCCTAATTCCGTGTGAACCTAGCTTTTAAACCTGAATTATTAATATTTTTATCTAACTTTGGCAGATATATTCAATAATAATTATAAACTGTTGTTGGACAATTCTTTTGCCGTTTCTATGACAACCTGTAAAAATAAATCATAACAATAGGCATACAAATAAATTCTTAAATCACCAAAAATTGATTAATATTTTTAATGATTTTTACCTACTAATCGTGTGTAGATGTTTTTGTGCGATGTTAAGAGGAAGAAAATGTTTCCCGTTAACGATATATATTAAGATATATTTGAATATGTTATTATCTGGAAAACTTTAAGGGCAAACAAAATTAGCGCTGTCATGCCTCATGTGATTTTTTTAATATAAAATATTTTTTTTAAACACTGCTCAGGATTGGGATTGTCACAGGTGCCATTCGGTAAAGTACAATGTTTTTACAAGCTTTTGGGGTATATTTTATTTCAATATCAGATGGCGGTAAAAATTTACAGTGGGCTCTTGGGCTATTATGATTTGATTATGTATGCGCCAGGGATACAAATCCAAGTTGCGCAATGTATAAACTGGAAGATTGAGATCAAAAGTGCCGACGCAGAGTGAGCGAACTGATTCTTTTAAGCTATAAACTGTGATACTGATGAGTGTAATTATTGTAAAAAATCAGTAACTGCTAGTGTAAAATGTGAAATCTGTGACTTGAAATATCATCCATCGTGTGCACAAAGAGTAAATGCTATAACAAGATGCTGTAAACCAAAAGTTATTGAAAAATCTAAGACTATGGATCAAGAAAAAAGTAAAGGTGACGTATTTTGCATTGATACTTACAACTTTTTAAAATTACTAGTAGAAGAACAAAAACTAGCAAACCAATTAATGAGTGAAAAAATAGAAATCTTAAAAGTTGAACTTAAAAATGAAAAAACTAAATATTCTGATCTGCAAACACAATATTATAACGAAATAAATCCTAAATTTATAAGAGTCCATAATAAAAATCAAAACTTATCTATCAGACTATCAGTGATAATAAAAGACCAGTTTTTATAGAAAAACCAAAACAAACAAAAACTGAAAGTGTGAGTATACCTGTTAAAAATAAACATTTAATACCAAACAAAAACAAGCGATTATAGGAATGCCCCTGTACAGGATGACTCATTCCTCCAAAGGAAACAAGTTGCATTAGAACTAATGAAAATTCAAACCCTACAAAAAACTAATGAAATAATAAATCTAGCAGATGATACCAATGAGAGGAGTCATGAGAATGATTATATCACAGTAACAAGACGGCAGAGGAGAAAAAACAAAACAATTATGGGAAGTGGAGAAGGTGATGATGAATTAAAAGGAAGGGAAAAATTAAACAAATAAATTTGGCTCTTTGTATCTAGAGTATCAGACACTGTAAATGACGAGAATGTTAAGAACACATTCATAAATGCACAAACGCAGAAGACATTTATGTGAAGAAACTAGACACATATTTTGTAAGACAGAATAATCAAGCTTTTCTAGTGGGAATAGATCCTCATTTTCAGGAGCAAGTATATAAATCAGATTTTTGGCCGAAAAATATAATTTATTCCCGATTCAACTTTAAACAAGGTCAGCGATTTCTTGAAGATTCACAAAACCAGAGATAATAATAATAATAATAAATGGCCTTTATTTGTACATACCAAAAATACAAAAAATATGTAGAAATGTACATTTGCCTGGGCGAGATTTAGCCTAAGGCTATTCTTACATCTAACCCTATAAATTCTATACATAGTTTAAATAATAAATACATTTTTTACAATAAGCAAATTCTAGTAAAACATTTGAAAAGAAAAACAATTACCTAAGTGTGTTTATTCAAAAAGAACAAACGAGATAAAAAAAAAATTAAACAATTGCACTTAAACACTTTGGGAGACCAAGAGCTGTCGTTTTAATGTATTTTTAAAAACATTTAGAGATTTTGAATTTTTTACAGATGTGTTTAGGTTGTTGTACAGAACAACGGCATTGTATGAAAAGCTGCGATTAAAAATTGCAGTAGAATGACGAGGCATGGTTAAAGTTAAATTATTTCTAATATTAACGTTGTGCATCAATGTTCTGAATATTAGTTTGTCTTTTAAATATGGTGGTATTGAAGTATTAATTATATTATATATTAGCGATAGGAACAGATATTTGAATAGGTTGTTAACATTTAACCATCCAGTTTGTGAAAAAGCCAATGAAATATGGTCGAACTTGCGAAGGCCATTGACGAACCTACAACACGTATTCTGCATTATTTGCAGTCGATTACGATTGACTGCTGTTAGACAAGGGTAATATATAATAATTCCGTAAAGAATTTTTGAAATTACTAAACATAAGAGTGAAGAAAATTTTTCAAAGCTAGCCTCTACTTCAAAACTGATAAAATAGGGACCTCAAGGACTACTATGGAAAACCACTTTTTGAAAGAAAATAATGAATTACCATTTTGCAGTTCCCAACAGTTAAATATTACTTTAATGCATATCAATATACAGGGAGGTTTTGCCAATAAATGCTTTGATCTAAATTTAATTTTACAGAAACAAAATGTAAGTATTCTATGTGTTTCTGAACATTGGCTTGATTCTAACAATTTACAAGCTACCTCAATTGACGATTTTAAGCTAGTATCATATTTTTCACGGATAAATAAAGAAAAAGGTGGTGTGCTAGTATATTTATAAAAACAAGTATGGCTTATTGCTGCAAATTTTGACTCAATTAATTTACATAGTTGGTGTATAGAAGGTGAATTTGAAGTATGTGGTGGAAAAATAAGGATCGATTCTTAACTTTTTTTTATTTATTATTACTGTGTATAAATTTAGCACTTTTCAGCTAGAGCTATTAATTCATAATATTTATCAAAATGACAATCACTATTTTATCTGTGGTGATATTAACGTAGATTTTTTAATTGAAGGTAATCAAAAAACTGTTTTAATTGACTTATTGAAGGAATTTAATATTAAACATCATATAAATGTTGCAACGAGAACAACAAGTACAACCTCAACTTGTTTAGATAATTGTTTTACCAATTTTGATGACTACTTATTATGTTTGATTAAACTACCCAATTTTTAAAATAACGAATTTAAATACAGATATAAACGAGATTTAAGTGATCCTAACGCAATAACTTTTATATTTTATCAGTTGAAAATTGTCGTGAAGTATACACATCTACTAATTTTAATGATAAATTTTCTATCTTTTATGAATCATTCCTATACCACTACAATATTGTATTTACGAAAACAAAGAAAGCGATAAAACCACAAAAATTAAAAATCAGTTTCCACCTCATATTAAAGAGTTACATAATCTATTATGTGAAATGAACAGGTTAAAGAAAGAAATAAATTCTACATATTATACAGAATGTTGCAATAATTTAAAAGAGTATCAAAAAATTACAAAACAATATTTGAGAAGAAAAAATAATGATCGTATTTTAAAAAGTAATAACATAATGAAAGAATCCTGGAATATAATAAACGAGAGTAGGGGAAAAAGAAAAAACAACTTATTGAATTCTATTAAACTTACAAATGATGACAAATTAACACCCTCAGAAAAAGTAAATTATATCAATGACTATTTTATTAATGTAAATAAAAATAATATTGTACCTAACTACTTATACTATGAGTATTGATAAACATCATAAAAGTTTTTTTCTTTTTCCAACAACTCCTAGTGAAATCATCACTATAATCAAAAAAACTACTTCTAAACCCACTGAAGGTATTGATGAAATAAATGGTAAAATTCTGTTATCGGTTGCTCATTGTATTGCTGAACCCATATCACATTTGATTAATGAATCCTTTGTTTCGGGATTATTCCCAAATATGGGAATCTAAAGGAATTCCTGTTTATAAAAATAAGGGACCGTTTAATCTGTATATCTAGTCAAATAACTAAAATATTTGAGTCAGCATACTTTATTAGACTCACTAATTACCTTGAAAGTTTTAATATGTTGCCAGATGCTCAAAATGGATTTAGAAAAAATAAGTCAACATCTACTGCAATTGCAGCTTGCCTAGAGTTTATATATCAAGCACTCAATGATAAAAAACATATTTTGGGACTCTTCTATGACCTTAGCCGTGCATTTGATATGGTGGATCATAATCTTTTATTATTGAAGATGAATGGGTTAGGAATACGAGGGAAACCTTCATCCATCAACCTTGTTCACGACTATAAATGAGCCAGCATTCACCAAAATATATTGGGATTACGTGTTACAATAAGTTCAGTAACATATTAGAAGATACTACAGGTTACCATCAAATTAGTCGTAATGATTTAAGAAACCATCTTAATGATTTTCTTGTAAATAATGTATTTTATAGTATAGAAGAATTTTTTGAACTTTTAAACTAATCTTAACATGAATTGTCTATTATATATATTTTATTTAACACTTTTTTGACTAGTCTGATAGGATTTTACATTATGTACCTAGTGTCTTTGTATAGTGTATAATTCTCAAAGGTGAATAAATTCTATTTCTATTTGCTTGAGTCTAAGAATATACCAATGGTTTTATTTCCTTCATCCAAATTAAAGTACAGATAATCTAGGAACTATAACCTAATCAGCAAGCAGTTACTATCAACTTTACTTGGAAGTGAAAAAACTGGCTCTTAAACTATTTTTTCTTTAATATGTAATATTTCTGTTTAGTTTGAAGGTACTTTTCTCAGTGAAGAAATAAGCTGCATAAGCCTTCAATAAAAATGTGACAACCACTCCATCATCAAAGGAGCCAACCCAAGCTGCCACTACTGTATTATCATTTATACTGGGATATAACCAAAGATATTGGATATAATAAATACATTAAATTTGTCTGCAACATCTTTCTGACAGTACACTCTTCCTATGCTGTCAGATCCCTTCCATCAAATGTCCCAAATTAAATTTTTACATGTATAACGTATGTGGATATTGAACATTCTGGTTGATAACCTTTAAATTTGGCAACCTAAGACATTTCGTTGACAGCGTCAAGTGACAGCTTAAGTTTTATTGGGCTTTTTTATGGGTTTTTGATGTTATCGAGAATAATTTGAACATTGAACCATTTAATAATAACATTTAGGATGGCGAAGAAATTGTAGTATGCCAAAATATTTTGTAATAAGAATGGGATCTTGTGATAATTAATTCTGAAAACATTAGTGTATAAATTGTTTCATCACCTAAAATAAGTACACATTTTAATATATCTAGACTGTTTGGCACTAACCAAAGAACCACAATTAATTGAAAGTAGAATTATCAATTTTGATACTATTAATAAAAAATTATCTAGGGTTAAATGGAATTATATATAAGGATTTTTATAAAAACGTAATGAGGGTTTTAAATGAGATGACACCAAAGAGAACTATTATAATTACATTATAACTAAAGATAGGGATAAGGCTTATAAAAATTATGTATAGAACAAAACAGAATTATATAAACAAAAATGTAATATGGCTGTTAAAATTATTAGAAATGAAAAGAGAAAATATTATGACTCAAATTATGGAAAATAAAAATAATTCTATTAAATTATGGAATATAATTAAGGAACTGTTACCCAAAAATTATAAACAAAATGACTTTGTAGAAATTGAAATAAATGAAAATTTAATTATAAAAGACAATTCAAATGTCAGATGATCTTAACACATATTATATTTTATTATTATAAAAGGTGTATTAGTTAAACAGTGTGGAAGGGTGAGTTTATCTTAGATAAATTGATAACTAATACAGTTAATAACATTATTCCATGAATAACAATTGAAAAAAGGTGATTAATTTTAATGTTGTCTGTATCAACTATTTTACACACCAGTCTGTAAAACGAGTTAGGTATTAGGTGTCTGCATCACAATTTGCTAAATTAATTACTGGTTTTCGCACCAAAAAACTTCAAACATATAGCAAACAATAATAATAATAAATGTATTATTATTGTTATTGTTTATTAAACAAGATTCATACTCCTTTATTAGCTACAAAAAAATAATTTTAGTAATATGTACAAACAACTTATTGATTCCTAATCCTATTTTCTGAAATAACTATGACAGTTGAGAGTTGAATGATTATAAAACAGGTGTTAATATTCCATCATGTGTTAATTTTACAAATACATTTTTTCTGGTTATATAAAAAAGACCTTCACACTTTTAAAGATGATGTCACCCTATAACAGCATAAGAGCTAAAATCAAGATCAAATAAATTTATAATAGGTGTATTCTTTTTGTAAAATAAAAATATATTTGTATGCACAATATTTCTCTTTAATAGTGTTTATGTATGTGCCTTTACAAAACAGATAAACATTACATTTTAAGGAATATAATAGTTATGCTTTTGCATTAAAAAACTTAGTATAAATATGTAAGGTTATGTTTATAAATATTAAATTTTGTATGTTTACAAATGGAATTCTTACCTCATTTTCTAGCTAATGTATTATTTATTAAACTGAGATTAAAATGTGGAACAATTTCCTAAACTCGACTGATAAAAATACTACTAAAACAACTTCTAAAATTATAACTGGTTGCATACTTTAAAGTCTTTTAAAACATTAAAGGTTATGTTGTGATTTGTGATGTGTCACATATATGTGATGTGTTTGTGATTTGTGATAACTTGACATGAAACATAAAGGACAGGAAAATTGGTTATACAGAAAAGGTTCCATGATTTTCACATTTTTTATTTTTATGAAAAATGGTACTTTTACCAATATTTCACGTATACAGGGAAAAAGATTGACAGAATATATTGTACATTTTTTTCTACTATATACAATTCACAAAACTTTGCTGTCTCCAGATTTCTAATATTTAAAATAATATTTATATAACATTTTTGGAGAATCGAAAATGCCTATTACCGGTAGATCTCAAATGAAATGACGTCATATATATTATCTGAAAAAATGCCCAGTTGTTTTCAATGTTTTTGTTACATATCATCTGTCAAAATTTCATTTACAGTTCAAATCGGAAAAACTGATTTGCATTAACCATGAAGGCCGCAAATGTTGCTAAATCTGTGAAAATGGCATCTCAAAAACTAACTAATTCCGTCGAAACTCTAGACAAACCGGAAAAAAGCAAGGTAAATCTGTAAAATATTTTTGGGTAATTCAAATTGCGCGCCTAGAAGCACGCCTCACAAAGCGACTCCTTCGTCCAGGTTTTCTCTTCTTTTCTATTGGTTCTATGATCTCCTATACTCGAAACGAAATATCGCCATTTTGATGTGTTGTATTTGTGATTAGGAAAAAGATTTATCAAATGATAATCTACGAAAAAATATAAATAACTAATTCGGTGTCCAATTTGTGCATTTATTAGTTAATAATTGTATTATTTTGTTTTGAAGATAAAAAACGTAGTAATAATGGACGATAAGGCTTCATGTAAGGAACTAGATCAGTGGATAGAACAGTTAAATGACTGTAAGCAATTAACCGAAAATCAAGTGAAAACACTGTGTGATAAGGTAAGTGCTCTAGTTTTACCTACTTTTCTTTATTTTCAGTTGTTTTAGTAAGAACTTTGATCCATTTCCTGGTAGAGATTACTCATCAAACTACTCATTAAACCGATAACTCCATTTCATATTCTTGTGGTTCATAATTTTAGATTATGGATTATTTTTAGATCAATTTTTGACTAGCTACTAGTTCTGTTTTACCGGCTTTAAAAAACCGTTTTAAAAGAAACCTAAATATTTATCACTTCATCTTGAACAAATTTTGCATGTGATCCAAATACCTATCCAAATATAATCATGTTAATTAGGTGCTTTTCCCAACATACAATGTTTACTAATTTTTTATTTGTTACACGGGATATTTATTTACAAATATGTTTTCTTAACAAAAACTTTAAATTTTAAACACCCTATGACACCATGGATTTCCAGAATGTTTTCATTTGTTAAATTTGCCTTCTCTTCCATCCTCATCTGAAAGTAAACACCTCAAATGTTTAAAATGTTTTCCTACTCTATTATTATCAGCTGGTATATAGATACAAACTGAGCATTTTCTAGTAGGTATTCAGTTGTCACTTTAGGTTTCTGTTGTCAAGTTAAAATGATTATTATTTTAATATTATTAAAGAGTTCATGCATAGCTCATGAAGCTGAACGAAACCTAAGCTATCTATATTTAACATATTTAATTACAATTATCATATATTTCAATTATCACAGAAAATTTAATTTGATTTTATATGTTTTGTCATAAACTGTAATGTATAGGTCTAGATTTTACTTTACTTAGACCTGTATTTTTAAACTGATCACAGTTGGGTCAGACTTGGCTGAGTTATCCTTGAACGAAAATCGAAGTTCGATTATATTGTGTAAATTCAGAGATGCCTAGTAACAAATTCATAAATGTACTTAACAGTTTTGGATTTGCTAATGTCAAATTAGAACCAACTTCAATTTTTTTTCAAGGATGACTCAGGTGAGGCCAATGTATATTTTTATATTCCTGTTTAATAATTTTGTATTTGGACATATAGTGCTCAAAAATGACTAATTTTTATTTATTATTTGAATATAATATCATATACTGAACACCATTAGATGTTTTTGTCTGTTTTTTTATCCAAAGTGTTAATGACCTTAAACTCTTTATTTTATAAGATTCACAACATTTTCAAAAAGTATATTTAATTGAGTTGTTCTTTGCATAAAAGTTATCATTAAATTCAACTTTTGTGATTTTTTATGAAAACTGCTGTTAAAATTTATGCAGTTCATATCTTGGACTACTGGTGATTTTGCGAATTTTTTTCATGCAAGGACATAGATACTTATGTTATATACCAATAAGTGTCATAATATAAAATTCAGGAAAAACTGACATGGTGTTTTTGCAAAACACGCCTCAATTATAATAGAACCAAAATAACCCAAATGAATGAGTATTCTTTAGAAAATGTTATTTTGGTTACATCAATTTGAAGATATTTTTGACTATTTGGAATAACAAAATTCAGATTAAGTTCATAATTTAAATATTTTTCTTGTTGATAAATTGATACACATTTGAAAAAAATACACTCTGTTATTGTTTAGTTTTCATCCTCAAAAAAATATACTTCTTATCCAAACTTGCAAATGGAATAGCTTATGACCCTATAATGATAAGATGTTTTTTTATTCAACAATTGTTTTAGTTTGTGGGTCATTCTATACATTTGGTTTAGCTCATTCTAAGATTTAAAATCAATTATGTACCTCAGAGGTAAACTTTACTATGTCGACATCAGCTCATTGAGACTGAGGGGTATACTACACAATGTATTAGTGATGTCACAATAAAAGTTAGCCAAAACATATAACATTATGTTCAATAAACTTATGAGGTAAACAAAACCATGTGCAGATAGTGTTTTTAACTCTCATGTTAGTCGTATTATTTAGAGACATAGGACACTATGTCATAGAAAATTTGTTATCAGAACATAGAAATATGTCAAAAGTTTTATTGGTTAGATTAGTAAACAATACTTATTGTGACAATAATTGGGTCTGACTGCATTTCTTCTCAAAATATAATTATTAATATATGTTATTATGGAGCACAATAGTGTCCAAATACATATAATCTGCTCTACTGAAAAATGTACTAGAATGACATAGTGCAGTTTACCCTCCGAGGTACTGAACTAGAAACCAAAAAAGCCATGATAAAATTGATTTAAATTTTTTTTTTTTTTGAAACAAATTACCTATTTTTGATTTTGAGTTGCTTACAACAATGAATTTACTAGATGAATATCTATATAAATATAAAAAAAAATGTTTTTAGACTTATTTTCATTTAATTTTAAATTTCTGTGGTTTGATTTGTTTAGACTATCGATTTATCCACAACTTTATTTAATTTAAAAAAGAAATCTAGTCATGTGAAATTGTCACAACTTTGTTTCTAGGGTAGGAAACACAACAGAAGGCAAATTATTTTATTCAGTAGCTAGTTCTTCCTGATTTACATAGATCTGGATGGTTTCATTTGACAAGTCTGGATTAGTTTTATTTGTATTGACTTTTAAAAATTTTATATACTTATTAGGGTGTCATTTTTGAGCAACTTTTTTTTTCAACTTAAAAACAGGCTAAAAACTTTTAGGAAAGTGAAAAAAGAAGCCTCTAAAAATTTGAGCTTTTAATATTAACATTTAGTGGTGCCTGTTCTTAACTTTCCATTGAACTTTTTTTTTTCTTAATTTTGTAGCTTGACATTTGAGCAATGTAAAAATTAACTAAAAAATTATTTTGGTAGGAAATTAAACGCTTTACAAAAAAGTTTTAATTTATTTTTTTATAGAATGAACCGTTTTGAAGATATTATAACTTAAAGTTGCAAATGTATGAAATTGTGACTTTTATTTTATTAAATTAATACTGATGGCTTTTTTTATGTCTTAAAAATTATTTTTAATCAGAAAAATGGTCTTTGTGCACTAATATTTTTAGAAGGCTAAAATAAAAAAAATACGTCTTAGATATTATTTTATTAGATTAACTGTTAAACAAAAGTAATTATTAATTAGGTTTAGTAAAATTATTATTTTATAGATTAAAAAAAAAACTTTTTAACAATTATAATACTAAAATTTTTAAACTTAATAGAAATTATAATGTCTTATCAGAATTAAATGATGTAACTATATTTCTTGAAGAGTTTTTTTTATTACAATTTGGATATTTTCGTCAGTGCTCTTTTGCCACTTGTAATAAATATTGAAATAGTTCCTCATCTTTAGTTAGGCATCTATTATATTCTTCTACTAATGTAACGTCAGCTTTCAATTTTTTTAAAAACTCCAAATTCTCTTGATAACTTTCATTATCTGACCACATTAATCTTTATCCAGAAAATCAAATTTTTCAAAAAGTTTCAATGATTGTTTTGAAACAAAGTCACTCATATTTTTGATTAAAAATATTTCTGGTGAGTTTTCGTCTTCTGTGCGTCGTTATCTTCTTTCTATACGAAAATAATTATTTTTTCTTGAAAATAATTTTTAAGACATAAAAAAGGTCATCAATATTAGTTTAATAAAAGTCACAATTTCGTACATTTGCAACTTTAAGTTTGAATAACGGCTCACTCTATGAAAAAATAAATTAGAACTTTTTTGTAGAGCGTTCAATTTCCTACCAAAATAATTTTTCAGTTCATTTTTACAATTTTCTACAAAAATAAGAAAAAATAATTTTTTTTCCCATGTTATTTAAATGGAAATTTTGGAACAGGCACCACTTAATGTTAATATTAAGAGATCAAATTTTCAGAGGCTTCTTTTTTCACCTTCCTGAAAGTTTAGCCTTTTAAAAAAAAATTGCTCAAAAATGACACACCCTAATACTTATGTTTTAATTTTAAATGCTGTAACTTTGTAATTAAGATTTTTATATCTTGTACTATAAAATATTTTTTGATTGTTTGATTTGATCATAAACAAAAAAAACTTTCAATTCATTTTCTTTAAAAAGAGAACATTTCATTTACAGTATGGGTAATTTTTTATTCCGGCCTGAGGTGAACAGAATAGATTTTGGGCAGAGTCGGAACATCTGGGGGGTACTTTATGGAGGGTTGTTTTTATATTTTATAGAATATATTAGTTATTTTGTTTGGAGAAGAAAATTGTTTTTATAAAAGTTACTTCTTATATTATCCTCAATAATTTTTTTTTCTATAAAAAGTTTTCCTAAAACGGTCTGTATTCGAGAAATTTTACAAAATGTAAAATTTCATATTTTTGAGAAAATTGTTCAAATAAAACTTGTCCTATACATAATTTCTCTAAAATGGACCGTATTTGAGATATTTGTGAAAAAGTGTAAATTTTGAAGAAAACTCAAAAACGGATAAAGAAAAAACCTTACATTTTAAACTTATGCTTTATTCGGACCTGATTAGATTTTGGGCAGTTGGAACATCTGGGGGGTACTGTTATAGGGGGTCATTTTTATATTTTATGAAATATATCTGTTATTTACATTTAGAGAAGAAAATTCTTTAAATAAAAGTTACTTCTAATATTATTCTCTATAATTTTTGTTCTATACAAATTGTTCCTAAAATGGTCCGTATTCGAGAAATTTTTCAAAATGTAAAAAATTCTTATTTTTAAGAAAATTGTTGAACTAAAAGATGTTTGCGATATCGATCTCAATAATTTTTGTTTTATACATGATTTCTCTAAAATAGACCGTAATGGAAAAATTGGAGGAAAAGTATAAAATTTAAATTTTTCAGCATTTTCGTTGGCAATGAGTGTATATAGAAAAATGTTTAGAGTTAGATGTATGTGGAAAATGTATATATTAAGTTAACCTCTAAATATTTACAGTGGTGCTACAATAGGTTGTACAAAATAACTGAAAAAGCCTGTAATAACTAGATAGAAAAGTCATGTGTTGGACACATCAGATTTTTATTTAGATTTTATTAAAAATCAATAGGCTTCATGCCCTTTTAGAGCTTGATTTTTACTAAAATTTTTATGTTGATATCGCTTTTGGTGTTTGATTTCTATATTTATTTTTTTTTTATTTCAATGCCCTCCCATTTTGTTAACACATTTTTTTTTAAAACAATTTGCTTTGTCTCCTTATAGAGCTTAATTTTTGCTAATGATGTAATTTTTCGTTTTTGAGTTAGGATTTTTAAATATTTCAACACCCCTTAACATCCATTTTTATTTATTTTTTTCAGAATCAATATGCTTCATCCCCTTATAGAGCTTGATTTTTAAAATTTCATGTCGAAATTGCTTTTCATTTTTGATTTTTTTTTTTTTATTTTATCCCCCTTAAACCCCCATTTTTAAATATATATTTTTTTTAAATCAGAGGGATTTTTTCCCTTATAGAGCTTGATTTTTGCTAAAAATTTCAAGTTGATATCTTTTTTGTTTTTTTTTTTTTTTTTTATATTTCAACCATCTTTAATTTAATTTTTTTTATAATCAATCAGCTTCCTCTTATAGAGCTTGATTTTTACTAAACATTTCATGTTGATATCACTTCGTTTTTTATTTTTATTTAAGTTTTTTTTTTTTTAATTTTCAACCCCTCTTAACCCCCTCATTTTTAATCAGATTTTTTCAAAATCAATAGGGTTCGTCCCCTTATAGAGCTTGATTTTCCTGAAATTTTCAAATTATCGTTTTTCGTTTTTGACTCATTGTGCGGACGAAAAACGTGACATCGCATCGGACGGACGGAACCAAACGCATATTACTCTTCACATACTACTGTGTTAAGAGTATAATAACAAATCTTTTTAATTTTTCTTTTTATATTTGATGCTATAAGAAAAAAATTGCCCCACTTCAGTCATTCCAAGTATTTTAAGAAACTTCCCTGATCTCATTAATTTCTTTTATCATTAAATACATTGCTCGTGTTGAGCATTAGTGATAACGCATCTTAAAGCAATAAAAAAAGTACTTACTCTAGTGGCGATAATCAGAAACCTACAAATGTGATAAAAAAATTCTATTATAGTTGTGAGGTCTTGAAATATTTAACAATTCATTGAAGTCTTTCCTTACCAGCTCAAACTTGTTTTAATAAAGCAGTTATTGAAAAAGAATATAACAGAAAATGACCGTCTGAGAAACTAGATAAGGGACCTTATCTAGTTTCTCTAAAATATTAAAAAACAGTCAGGTGTATAGAGAAAGTAAAAGTTGAAAAGTCTTTTGGTAGGTAGAGAGGGGGTAAACGTCAAACCACGTCGGGCGGCTCCGAGAATTTCACAGTAATGTTTACCTGCCAGTGTCGTTTCATAGAATAAATAATTTTAAATTGTTATCGGCGGAACCGGACAATCGCATGTATTTATGGATTATAAATAATTATTAAACATGTATTATAATATTCAAATTATAATTTTACAAAATTTCAACAGCTATTCACAATTTATTAAACTATTTACTCGAAATTGTTATTAACATCTATAAAATAATTTTGTACGCCAATGTATCGTGTCCACTTCGGTGAGATCCGCTGACAACCTGTCAATTTATGTGTATAAAGTGGGAGAACTGGCAAAAGCATTTCCAACTTTTACTTCTGTTCTAACAATGTTGTTAATTTTTTTCATAACTAATATTTTTAGTAATAACGAACATGGATATTTACAAAATAAATCTACTCAAACATCTATACTATATTCCATCTATATTATATTCCATTATACTCAATACATAATAAAATCAATGGAAACAAAAATATCTAACTCTGGGAGTTTTTCGTGACTTGTCAATGGCCTATGACTGTCTAAACCAGGGATTCCCAAAAGACCCCTTTTCCAAAATGAACTGATACCTCAGACCCCCATAGCCAAATTATTTTAAAAATCCCACCGCTAGGTTTTTTCATACTTTGCGGTTGGTTAAGTAAGTAAACTTGACTTCATTTTCTCATCAAAATTTAATAAAATTCAAGTGTAATTAATAATTATTAATACAAATTACGTAAAAATACTTATATATAGGTAATTATTAAAAAAACATTAAAATCGCAAAGTAAAGATAAAAAAAAATTAAAAATTCAGTTGGACGGTTGAACGGTGACTTTCTACCAATCTAGCCAAATCTGGTTCAATATTGATGGCTTGCAGCCTTAAATCTCCGCGTTCGTTGATTTTCAAACAGTTTCTTTGTTTTGTCAAAATGTTTGTAACCACACTAAAGCCTTTTTCGACTAGGTATGATGATGGAAAAGCGATAAATATTAAATATTATCCGCCAAACTTTTCAGCGCTTTTAGTTCTTGAAGCAGCAAAGAATTTTCTTGCTCAAGAACAGAAATTAAGTTTCGTGTCCTTTTTATTTCGGTTAGGTCATTTACCTAAGTGTCTAACTGAATATTCAGAATATTTAAATCATTACCAAATTGAACTCTAGTCTCTTAAGTCCTTGTTTAGTTTTTTGAAGAGATTGCAATTCATTTTCTAATTCTTCAATAAATTGTCTTTGCTCTTTTTGTTTAGTATTAGTGTTAAAATTGTTAACTTCAGAAACGTTAGTAAACTCTTGTGTGCCTCTTCAGACGTTTAATATTTATTTCGTAGATTGACACGTTCGTTTATATGGCCCTTTTCGCGTTCTTAATTATTTCAAACTTGAAGTAAACATTTATTTGAACAATAAATTATGTAACCATCTAATTTAAGAACTTCTTTAGATCGATCTAAACAACTAGGGTGGAAAATACCAGTGCATGATATCAATATTGTAACTATTTTAATTTTTTAATACCCACACACAAACAGGGAACTCACTTTTTCCCATTCATCCATTTTTTTTTTTTGTAATTTTTGCCTTTGTTGCTTTTGTCCACAGTAGTTAGGTTTTCTTTAAATGTTGTGCCTATAGAAACTCCGCTTGTCTATTATCTTGGTATTCTTTGAATTTCTGGAAATCAAATCTTTTAAAACAAATACTTTTTGGCCATGCCGTTGGTTTGTATATTTTTTCCTTAAAGCTGAAATCGATAACAAACATGAAACATTTTGTTTGATTCTCCTTAGTTGGTAATTGTTTGATCTCTATATTTGTATTTTTGAAATGTGTTTGATTCTTTATGTAATTTTTTGTCATCTTCTGTAATATTTCTTTTGAGTCTAAATAAATACAGCCATACCTTTTTCCTACTGCGAAATCTTTGCTTTCTGATTGTCCTTCTATGACTAGTTTTTCCTAATCAATTTGTCTTTTAAACTTCTTTTTGGTCACTATTTTGTATCGTTTATTGTTCCTGTCTCTTCATTTATTTTTATAATTTCATTTGCCTTCCTCTTTTGTTCCTCTTCTAAATTTGATTTATTTGGTTTATTGTTTCCTGACCTAGGTTGTTCTGTGTTTATCTTTACTTTGTCGACATGGTTTTTGTTTGGTAGATAATCTGTTTGTGTTTCGCTTTTTGTAATCTATCAACCTTTTCTTGTAATAATTGTTTGTTTTCCTGTAGTAGACTAATATTATTTTCTAAAATTCTTTGTTTGCTTTCTGTCTCCAATAAGAGTTTCTTTTGCATATTATTTTCCCATACTAATTTCTGGAAATTTATTTCTTCATTTTGTAATAACCTTGATTTAAAAGATCAATGCTGATGCTTGGACTTAACAAATCATTCGTTTCATCGTTTATATCCAATAACACTTGATCTTCACAACAAATTTTACATTTCAAACAACTGTTATGAAAAATGCATCACATGAGGTACATTTTTTATTTTATTTACTTTAATCCACAATAATTGCACGATTTATGTGCAGCTCTTAAAGATTCGCATCGGACATGCGCGTCTTATTAAGGGTGGGTTGTACAAAGAATGCTGTAAATTCAGTTTATCTAATAGAAGTTTAATTTGTGAGTGGTTATATTCAACATAAATGTCATTTTTAAAATTATGTTTAACCCTAACTGATTGTCGTACTACAAGGTCACAGTTTAAACTAAGATTACATTTTAATTGCGTATTGTACAACCCGCCGTTAGACTATAAAAGTTTAGCTAAGAACGCCCTAGATTTTATGATTGGTCCTTTCTTTGATTTTTTTATAATTTTCTTGCAGGCTAAAGAAATACTGTCTAAAGAATCAAATGTACAGGAAGTGAAATGCCCTGTTACGGTATGTGGCGATGTTCATGGACAGTTCCATGACTTGATGGAGTTATTCAGGATAGGCGGTCGTAGTCCAGATACAAATTATCTTTTTATGGGTGACTACGTCGATCGTGGTTATTACTCAGTTGAAACTGTCACCCTCTTGGTAGCACTGAAAGTCAGGTAAGTGTAGTTTTTTCTTCAAATGTACATGTTTAAATGGAAAGTCTTATAAAATTAATTTGTAACTTTGATAACATCAGATAAATTAGGATCTCATAAATTTTTTAAAGAACTGACATGACTTTTTTGTTACTTGACATATTATTTGTTCCATTACAAAACGATAGGTGTAGCTGCTTGCCTTTGGTAAATATAAACTGAAAATATGTTTTCCTAAATGTAGCCACTGCACCCAAGCTACAAATTTTCAGTTTTTAGGATATGAATGTTAAAATACAAAATGTGAATTGAAATATTTGTTAAATCATTGTTTGAATCAAAAATACAGGTTTTTTTTTATAATAAATTAGGTATAAAGAAAGAATCACAATCTTGAGAGGGAATCACGAATCAAGGCAAATCACACAAGTCTACGGTTTCTACGATGAATGTCTAAGAAAATATGGAAATGCCAATGTATGGAAATTTTTCACTGATTTGTTCGATTACTTGCCTCTAACGGCGCTCGTTGATAGTCAAATATTCTGTCTGCATGGTGGGTTGAGTCCTAGCATTGATACTTTGGACCATATTAGGGCGCTAGATCGTTTACAAGAGGTAAGTTAATTCCTATTAAATTATTGAACATTTTTACGGCTATGTACAATTAAAGATAAGATAAAAGTACGTTTGTGTTATGTAATAATTTGTCTACATTGCAAATGTAGATAGTATAATTCAATACTACTAAGTTTACGCTCCTCATGTGTATCCTGACAAATATATCTGTATATAATATGAATTGTTGCTTATGGTTGGCGATTAGCATGCCCTCGCCTCTTTTCTAAAGAGTATAATTAAAATGTAATTATTCTAATATAAAGCAATAGTAAAAAAAGTAAATGTGTACAATTTAAAACTTAACTTACTGCTAAAATTAAACATATATAAAATACAGGGTGTGCAATGCTCAACGGGGTGGAGCCTGGTGGGTAAACTACAAAATATATTAAAAGTTCCTTTGATACAAATATATAACTCAGTGGCGACTACGATTTAAAATTAATTTCATGTATACAGTATGTCCTAAACCAATAATACGAATATAGAGTTATATTTTTTTAAATGAGACACCCTGTATTTTTTTTTAAGTTTAAGTTCAACTCTTAAAAATAATCTTAGTTTAATAAAGATTCCCTATCTGAACAGTTTACTGTAATAATACTTCAAATTGCAAACACCCCGTGCATTTTTTGAATAATTTGGTGATTCTGATAAAAAGTTTCAACATTTTATAAGGAACTGCCAATAAGTTGCTAAATAATTATTTTATAATCAAGAGTAATTAAATAATTTCAACAGCACTACATTTTTAAAAAATGTCAAATCGGAAATTAGTAAAGATAGGTGTAAGTCTTTATTAAACTACGATCATTTTTAAGAGTTTAACTTAAAATTAAAAGAAAATACCAGAGTTATTCAAAATCGCATTGTCAAAATTATCTACCAACAACCATCACTTTCCCTGACAACTCTCCTGTACAATGATGAAATCTTAAACATAAGAACACTACTTATATTTATGTTGTATTTTCATACATAAAAAATCACATCTAAGAACTACTGCTACACATCCCCACAACACAAGAGCCAAGTCAAATAACAGCTTGATGACACCAGCATGTCAACGTGACGCCAGTCAACGATTTGTAACCACAGTTGCTCGCAAAATTTTTAATAAACTAAGGATAAACATAAAAAATATAACCAAATTACATATATTTCACCTTAACAATATGTTACTGTAAACTTAGATTTATTTAACCTTCCGGGACTGGCGTGAAATATTTGAAAACTAGCTACTAAAAACATAAAATCAACTTAATATAAACTTATTATAAAACTATTCATATGTCAATATGTTAATATTTGATAGTTTCTGTCAAATATTGACAGCTCCTGTCAAAATTTGAAATAGTGTCTTTCGGTAGCTTATGAAAAACTGCAAGCCGTTTTGCTCCGATTTAAGCAGTTAAGCTTTTATGGCCTGTCAGAGTTGGAAAATGGTCACTTTTCAACTGTCAATATCTTGAAGTTGAACAATTGAAGTGTTACATAAAAAATATTAAGAATTTTAGGAAGTCAAAAATTAATTAATATACAGGGTGTTCCATTTAAAATTTTCAAGTTGCTGCTACTTTAGTGTAGAAGCGGCAATGTCACAATGCCGAGAATATTTTAGATCGATAGAGCATCACGGATTATGTAAATGACCAAACTTTTAAAACGATCCTATGTCTAGTTCTCCATAAACGTCTAACCTGCCACCACCTTGTATATAAAAGGGCTATATTACCCAATAAAACAAAAAATACTTTACTCCCCTTCAAAAACCTTTAAATCACAAATAATAATAATAATAGTTTGGTCAAAAATGGGATTGGCAACTGGCGGCGGACTCTCACTCCACAATATTTTATAACATAAGAACAAAAATACACAAGCGTAGTTACGCGGCGAATGGAAAATGAAAAGTGCTGCGTATTGAGAATACATGCGCCAATCCCAGAAGGTTAAGGAGATTTTATAAATTGACTGATACACCTCCACCCTACATATGAAACTAATTTTAATTTGTAGCCACTGTTGAGTTGTATATTTGTGCCAAAAGATTTTTTAACGGGCTCCGTCCCAATGAACGTGGCGCACCCTGCATTTGATGGTCATTTTTTATATTTGTTGAGTCCTTTGTTCAGCAATATTTTCATTGACTGGATAAATTACAGCTGGGTACGTGAAAATGGTCAGACTTTCTAGTATCATGAGCATGCGCACTTCCTCGGTAAACAATATATGCATAAATGTATGGTTCTACCTTTAACGCTTCCAAACTAGTTCAAAATTTTTCACTTCGATTTTCCAAATTTTGAGATATTCCAATAATTATACCATTTTGTAGGGCTTTTAGAGATAAACTTCCTAGCTCAAAGATATTTAACAAAAGACCCTGATCTTTATTTTAAAATTCCCCCAAATTCCATCTAATTTATTTGTTTTTCTTTCACAATTGGTGACATAATGAATGTTGAACATTATGAAACTGGTAGATCATTTTGATACTTTCTGCTATTACAAAAAAGTCACTTTATATGTTAAAATTAGAGAAATTATATTTAAGGGGGTTTTATTCTCTATTCAACCGCGCAAAAAAATTTAAAATTTGCTTCATTAATTCTCGACTAATTATTGTTTTAAAATAACGGAAATTAACGTAGCGCACTCATCCTTAGAATTAAAATTCGGCCCTGCATGATATTGGTTATGTTTCAGACGTGAAGTAAGACATTTTACCATTAGATAAGGTCACTGTTAGTTTAGTTGCTTTCCTATTTGTGATGTTTTGTTATTTTTAAACATTAATAAATCAACACGTAATGAAGCAAATTTCAAAATTTTTTGCAGGGTTGAATAGAGAATAAAACCCCCTTTCAAATGAGCTATCACTCACCACCGCATGCCATTTCAATTTTTCGAAAGGGTTGCTCCCCTCCAGTAAGTGATGAAATTAAGGGTAAACTATTCATACAAAAATGTACATTGTAAAAATCAAAAATCGACGGGTCTCGGCGATTTTCCTAACAAGACTCCAGTAACGAGTTAGATAGGGGGGGGGGTAAGACTTTTGATGCTCACTGTATACAGGGTGTGTCCGAACTTGGCGTCCAAATTTGTAGGGGTGGTAGTTCGCATAATTTGAGAACGATTCGCTGATTTTATTTTTCCAAAATATTTAAAATAAAAATAATTAAAAATTATAAACAGGTACGGTCCTGCACAGCAATGGGACGCCTCGACTCGCGCGCGCTACGCTTAGAATCGATATCGCATCTGTTTTTGAGGACTATTGCGCTACGCGCTCAGGGTAGGACCTGCTCTTTGATTTTTTTTATAATGGCTCTCTTTTGTTTATTATAATTTTTTTAGAAAAATGAAATCTGCCAATCGCTCTCAAATTATGCGAACTACCACCCCTACAAATTTGGGCGCCAAGTTCGGAAACACCCTGTAGATAATAGTAGAAAAATTTCTTATTTTTGTGGTCACCAAATCAAAGGATCTTCATTTTTAATATTTTCTGTAATTTAGTGTAAATTTTAAAATCGTCTTAAATTGTATTTGTCATATGTTCTTCCTATATGGTATGAAGTATCAAACAATATTTTTTTTAATACATTGTTTTTGATTCATAATGTAGAAAAATAAAAATATATATAAAAAAAATTTAATTGTTTATAACAAATTGATTATTAAATAAAAAAAAATACGTGTGGCACTCGGGGACTGCCGCGGTAAAGCTATTGCATAGCATTTTTTATCAACTTATGCAATTATAATTATTTATTTATTTTATTTATGCAGTATTTTTTTTTCTTTGATATTAATTCAAGTTTTTTCTTTGATATTAATTCAAGTTACACTTTTTGAGAGTGGTAACCGATAAGAAAACAAATTTTTTTCTTTTATTGAATAAATGAGAAGTTAATATTGTTTAAAATATTTTTAATATCTTACAATACATGTAGGTTATTCAGGAATTTTTATCATTGAAACTATAGGTTTATGGTAACTGAAATAAGAAACATAAGTTTGAGACTTGATATCCTCTAAATATCTGGAAAATACCGCGTCAATGGTGGCCCCATATTTTGTTGTGGATTCTTGTGGATCATTATTCATTTTCAAATTCAATTTTTCCGAAATTGTGTCTTAAGAGATAGAATCAGTTATGAGCAGTTAGCAGTTACTCTACACGCATACGTCTAGTCGCATGCACACAAACACCGTACCGAAGTCTGCCGAACTGAAACAACGTTAGACGATGCACGGCTTTCAACGCCCCACCGCTGTGCGGGTCGGAGTGGGGGGTGTTAGCTTTATTTTCGTTGCGGAATTTTTTTTTCTTTTGATTTTACGGTTTTTCGATTTTTTGGTTTTTTGATTTCTCAATTTTTCGATTTTTTTTTCTTCGATTTTTCGACTTTTCGATTTTCTTTTATTGAATAAATGAGAAGTTAATATTGTTTTATTGTTTAACGCCGCACCGCTGTGCCGGTCGGAGTGGGGGGTGTTAGGTTTTTTTCGTTACGGTCGTTACGGAATTTCATGATTCGGTCGCCGCACTCAAAGCCCGCGATAAAAGCTATGCAATAGCTTAACAATGAAAATTTAAATAAAAACTTTTTTTTTAGTTATCAAAGAGCAAGATAAATTGATTTAAACAAATTGGTTCCTTAATAATAATTACAAATGGGAAAAAAATTGTTAACAAATCCGTTTTTAAGCAATAACATTTTTTTAAGGAACGATTTTTTTTTAAAAAATCATAATTTGCATCAAAGATTGTTTCAAAAAAAAAATTTTAAATTATCTTATTTGTTTATAATAATTTTTTAAACAATAGAAAATAAAAATTTTTAAAAATCATTTTCATGTGGCTTCAGATGATAAAAAAACGGATAATAGTAATATAAATAAAAAAAAATTCAATTATTATTAATCAAGCTTTTTAATTTTTCCAACGGGAATCTCTTCTGAGACCGTTCAGAAATTGTTCCAAA